CCGCTAGTCGCAGATAAATCTGCTAGCTAGTAAATGAAATTAAATAAAAATTGATTATGGATTCAATTCAATTCAATACTTAATACAAAAACAACAAACTCACATTAAAATTTAAATATGGAATGAGTAACAGTAGAAAAGATGGTAGTCGTATGAACGTTTTAGCGCCGATAGTCAATTATCTTGGATTGAGCAAGAATAACATCTGTCTAAAATTTACTATACATATATGTATTTAGGTATTATTAGTGTATATTTTTATTCAAGTAACGTGATGGATATTGTGATGATTGTTACAGAGAAAGAGGCAGCTATAAGTATTGATTATAGATGAGATTATTGAACGATTGTTAAGATTAGACAATTCCAGTGAGTTTGCAATAATTACTAAGTAATCAGATTAATATAATAAATTATACGCACATACAAATTTTTTTTTATTCGATATCACAATTTTTGTACCTATCTTATTTCTGCGATTTAATGAATTCTTTCACCTTTCAATGATTTGAGCCTCGCTCTATTTAAAATATTATGAACACTAAAATAATATTCATTAATATGTCATGCATTAATATGCGTTTATTTCATCTATTACTAACTGACCCGCGCAACTTCCTCTGCAACACACTTAGTTGTTCATTTTGATTATACATTTTGAACAATTAAAATAATATCTTTTTTTTAAATTGTATGTGTTATTGTGATGCATATGCATATATGCAGAGTGGTGTACCGTGCAACCATTAAAAACCGCACTTGATTTTTAATGGTTAACGGGTGGTTAAAATCGTGGGATTTTTTGTGTGTGGACACAGCAACTCGCCCCTGATAAATAGTTTTTGAAGCGTTTTCTACACATGTGTCAATCAAGAAACAACAGTACAACACAGAAAACGGAGTACAAACTCTAGTTTGTATTTGTAGCCTAGAGGCAAGAAGTAATTAAAGTTTTTATCTCTGTTTTTTTTTTCAATTATTAGAACTCTGTTACTGTATTATACGAGATTATCTAAATATATTTTTCAACACTCAACTCAATATCTAAAATAATCATTATTATTAGTTGAAGTAGTCGTTATTCGACCAATCTAAAGCCTGTTGACTGACACGTGCGCTCCAACAAATCCTTAGAAGTATTAAAATCCTGTATTTGGAAGTATATTATTAGGTTTATCTTCATATCTGCATCATCATCCACATTGTACCATTTTACATCTCTATGACGGCGGACTCTAAATCCTACCAGTGATTTGTACTTTGTAACCTAACAGTACAAATCATTGATAGGATAATGCGCTATATTAACAATCTTTGTCTCGGATTCCCCAGTTATCCCTTTTTTTTCCATTCCAAATCATTCATAATTCCGATAGTAGCATTGTGAAAAATAATCGACTTTATTTAATGGAATAAATTTAAGCTCTATCTCTTTAAATACTTTTCTGTAATTCTATTTTTATGTAGTCTCTTTCTTTTCTTCTTACATTAAATACATGTAATTGCTATTATTAAGTTTATGTATGTAATACATTTATACTTACATTTATATGTATAAATCTATTACATACATAAACTTAATATTTTTTTATTATTCTCTTCTACTCAAATGATAAAAGTTGTTACAAATAATTACGACTGTAATCCTAGATATGGTAGGTAGAGTCATTGTTAACTGTCAATGCTATGATCCGCAACACTACCCACACCGTAATTTGGCGAAGTACCTACCGCTATATTGAAAACTAAACTAACTTTCATTATTTACTGTACTATATTGTACTTTTATTATTTGATTGAACCGAGATTGATCAAATAAGTATATGTAACGTCACGTATACATGAACAAAATGTCCAACAGTGTCGTTACTATAATGACAATTATTATTTTATAAGTATATATGTAGTCAGTAAGTTATATATAGGCCACCAAGTTGCCTGAAGTAAAAAAATAAATAAAATAAAACTAGAAACTTAGCTGCAGCTTCGTTTATTTTATACTTAAGATACGTAAATATTCTTTGTTAAGAGTTCCACATAGCAGAAAGATTTTTCTTCAAACTACTAACAATTATAGAAATATTATTACAATACTAATATCATATTCGAATAATTATTTTGTTATTTAAAACAATTTCGTCCTTAAACCAGATTAAGCTTTTACCAGTTAAACTATCATTTTATCAATTACATCAGTAATTCTGCTAAATGAAACTAGGTAAGCCATTAGTTTCGTCTGGGTTAGATAGGTTCCGAAGATTATACTGCTACTTCCGCTTTCCTCCTAAACCCGGAAGTCCTTTAGTGTCGGGCAGTTTAGGTATATCAGGAAGCTTGGTATCCGGCAGTTTCTGGTCAGGGAGTTTCGCATCAGTTGGCATGTCAGCGGTGACGACCATAGCCGTCGCCAACATAACAATACACACGAAAATCTGTAGACATACAAAGAAAAAGAAATTAAATAAATAAATAAACAATTGACACAGCCCTATCTAATCCCACAGTAAGCAGAACTTGTGTTATGGGTAGGTAATTGACAACTGATATAAACAGTTACATTTTTTTGTGAATATATCCGTAATATACATAGAATACACCGAGAGCGATAGAACCAATCATAAACATGAATACAAATGTTTACACCGGGCGAGGAATCGAACCCGAGGCCATCAAGATACAATCCAGTTACTCAACCTCTGCTAGTTAGTTTACTAATTTTTTTAAAGTGTGTAAAACCGGCCGAATTCGTTGTAAGGAGGACTGTTGGGGCTTGTGGGACTTTTGTACTGCCAATAAACACATCAAGAAGAACCTCCGAGTCTGAGTCTCTACTATAGATGTTGTAAGACATCGCTATTAGGCAGAGTGCGGGCGAGTTCCAAAAGTGTCCTAAAGGCAATTGCTTGTAGACTATCCCATTCTATGATACTACGTGAAACAGGTAATACGTTAAGGTTTATATTTCTACTAGCTACTCGCCCCGGTTTCGCACGATACACCCGTATTATATATAAAAACCTTCATCTTGAATCACTATCTATTAAAAAACCCGAATTAAAATCGTAGTTTTAAAGATTTAAGCATACATGGGGACGGACAGACAACGACAGCGACTTCACTATAGGTCAAACGTCAAATGCACCTAGAACATAGCGTCATGTGACGCTAGTGTTGCCAATCGCGCCTCCGTACCTATCCTTTAACTTCACTGGCACATCTTATCTTTAAACAGCAACAGCTTAAAAAGCCAGCTAGGTACTTAAGCTTTGCTTATGCAGAGGTGACTTAGTCGACCTTTTACAAAGACTACTTCGATAAAGCTGTATAAAATATTGTACACCTAATACGATAATGGACGATCTCAATTTTTTTTATTTTATGGTTAGACTTTAATGATAAACCTTTATAGTGTATTTGCAAAACTACATAAAAATACATTTAGACAAATAAGGCTAAGGACATTATTTATTATTGTATTTTTAATTTTTTTTTTAATACTAACATCGTGTTTTTATTCAAATATAAATTGACGATAGGACTAAAATGAACAATATTCGTGTACATTGTATTTACTGGAGAAAAACTCAATAACGACATATTTTTTTGTTTTATTATAGAATATATACATATATATGATGAGCCACTGTAACAAATATTTAATTGGAATATATGATAATATTTAAATGGAAAAAACTTACCACAAAACGAGACATCTCCCTGAACTCCTTGGAGGCTAATATCTGAGTAATAACCGTCGTATGGAGGATACGTGCTTTTATAACAGCTCTCCGAAGAGGATGCAATTGACAGACGATCAATGTAATTACAATTAATCGGTGGGAACAATAAAATTGCCATCTCATCAGAATGCGTTCAATAAAAACAATGCATCGTTAATTAAATCACTGCCCAGATACGCATAGCTAATTGATCAAGCTGAATATAGTTGTAGTTGTATATTTTCTTCTTTCTTTATCATATTAGATACTAGATGAGACCGCAACTTTGCACGTGTAGGTTTAATTGTAACCATACTAGCAGTGTCCGCGGATTCACCCGCATAAAAATAATTCCCTATGTGCTATTCTGACATGTTGGTGTCCTATGTAAAAACTGCCAATATAAAATACTAGCTGTACCCGCGACTTCGTCCGCGTAAAATAGTGACTTTGACCAAATAATAAAAAAAATATTTAATGACCTAACCCAATGAAAGCCACATGGAAAAATTTCAATTTCAATCTTTCATAACTCTTTCAACCCTTTATAACTCTTCTATCGCATTCAAAAGTAGCCTATGTCCTTTCTCAGGGTCTAGACTAACTGTGTAGCAAATTTCATTTAAATAGGTTCAGTAGTTTTAGCGTGTAAGTGAGACTGACAGACAGACAGATAAAGTTACTTTGTTTAATAGTGATACATATTTAGAAAAATATACTAAAAGCAATTATATAAGTATTTTAAAATTCTAGTTGACATGTCAATCAGCAACTTATTCTAAATAAGCAGCTTTCAATCATGAATTTCATTATCATCAATATTTTACAACCTCATAAATAAGCACAGGAGTCCTAGGAAGAGGAAAACTAATACGCTTTTAACACGCATGATCTCTGCCAGGAATTAGGGCACAACAGAGAACAAGCTGTTATCATACTGCCAGATGTGGTGGATCAGATGTGTTGATTTAAACTGTGTACTACACTTAAAACCACCACATCTGGTCCCAGCAGACCTGGTTCCTGGAAACCATCGTAGTTCATTCCTCGATTGGTGACGGTTCCCCCTTAACATCGAGCGGGCCCTCAGCCTGTTTTGCCATTTCTATTATATAAAGAAAAGTATTGCACGACTAAAATAAAATGCTAACGTTCATATAAGACTTGTATTTTTTATGCGACGTTAAATATAAAAAAACTCTAGCTTCTTCTACGTCTCCCAATCATTTACTATGAATGCATGCATGTAAAATATTATCAGTCACAGTCATCAATCATTTACTATAAATTTCTATTGGTTAATGATGACCGTAGTGGCCATAGTCATGACCGCCATGACCACCGTGGTCAAATCCACCATGACCATGTCCACCGCCATGTTGAAATCCTCCGTGGTTGCCGTGACCACCATGTTCAAATCCGCCGTGACCGCCGTGGCCACCTCCGTGTTCAAATCCGCCGTGACCACCTCCGTGTTCAAATCCGCCGTGACCACCGTGTTCAAATCCGCCGTGACCACCGTGACCTCCGAGTTCATATTCGCCCCCTTTATGGCCACCACTATGACCACCGTGACCACCTCCGTGTTCATATGCGCCTCCTTTGTGGCCCCCACTATGTCCTCGATAACCACCGCCACCATGTTTGCCGAGGTCTTCATGTTCGTACACTTCATAACCGCCAGCTGCTGTGAATGTACAATAATGAACATGCAACAATCGTAACAAGTCATCATAAAATAATTGATTATTAAATACTAACGAATATATTTAGCTCTATAAAAAAACCGTAAAGTGAGAGTCGGCTCGCATATTTGGAGTTAATTGTAAACAGGTTTTATATTCCGTATAAAAATGATAATTGATTATTATCAAAGTTGAAGATAACTTATTTAAAAGCAACATTATAATAGTATAGACAAATGAAAAGGGTTTTTACAACAAATACATATTTACTAAAGAAACTCTATAGAAATAACTTAAAAACGGAATCCGATAAATGAAAACTGAAATTAAAACTCATTACTTTCATTTTAATTTAATAAACTTTTCTTGAAAAACTTAAGTACACTATTTACTTATTATCTCATACCTTCAGACGTAAGCACTGCCACAGCAGCTACGACCAAACCAACAATCTGAAATATAACGTAAAATTATAAAAGTATGGTATATTTATATATTGTAAAAAATATGCTATTTCAATTTATTTATATAATTGGTTGCACTATAGATTTCAAAGTTTATAAAGACCTAGCAGCAACCCGGCATATATTACTCTAGAAATCAAAATATATTTGTAAACAATTTTCAGACACAATATTTTAGTTATTCATTAATATTGATATCTTCATTATCTAATATTTAACGTTTGGATTTTCCAGGTTAATCCATATTATTAGTATTATAAATCCTAAAATGTCTGTATACCTATCGTTTCCTTATGCATCACACTAAATGGCTGGAGGTATCGGAATTAATTTTAATATGAAGATAGATTTTATCACAAAAAATAACATAGGCTACTTTTTATATAAGAAAAAAAATGAAGTTGCGAGTAACATATAGTACATGTACCTATTCTACTACAGCCAGCCCCACGAGTACAATAATTGTAGAGATCTGTTTTTATTAAAGATTATATTTTCTATGTTACTCACAGTAAATGTTACATTTTGTAGATATTTTTAATAATTTTTATATATTTTATTTAATCAATTACGTCTATCCCATAGAATATAATATTAGTATAAATTATAATAATAATATGTATCTACATATATTGACTGACAATTAATTTTCAAATCAAAGCCAGAGTGAAAATAAAAACTAATTTAACTCTTATTATATAAAAGTAACTATATGTTTAGTTGATATAATTTCGATCCTTACCTGTTGACATAGGCATGTTTGCGGATATACTTACGGTAAGTACATATACCTATTATTAGTATAATTATAGAAGTCTACAAGTAGGTACCTGATAGCTTACCTTATAATTAACAATGACATTAAGTATGAGTAACAAACTTGTTTAGATTTTCTTTAGATTTAGTACGTCATAATAGCAACTACTTAAGTATTATAATATAACTGGATCTAATTTTGCCATTAGTATTACACAATGGGCTTTAAGAATTATACATGGCTTTATACCAAAGTTCTTTAAATGGTAATAAAATTTTCAAATAGATTCAGTAGTTTTTACGCATGCTAATTGAAAACAACGCTTCAACAGGATCAACTAATCCAAATAAATTCCACATAAGAAACTCAACAAATATAACAAATAAAGAATATTAAACGAGCACTTACACAGCATAAACAAAGAACAAAATAAATTATGTATTAAAATTTAATTAAATAGAGCTTGTCAATGCACTCTTCTACTATTTCCACATATAAGATAATATTACATACTATTTCTATACTTCACGCATTTACTTAACTTTTGTCAAAAAAATATACCTATTTCCTACAATCAAAATATTTCACATCTATTAGAACCACATAAAAATAAAACTACATTTTTATAAATTATATAAGAAATTCCTTTAATAATCTATTACGCCAGTCAATACGAGTATAAACATGCCAATCGATAATTTTGACCTTTAAAAAATGTTACAAAATTGTTTTCTATAAGGAAATAGAAATGGTAACTCACCAAAATTTTATTCATACTTGAATATATATTAATTCACTTATAGGTATGGACTGTTCGAAAATCTCAGATAATGTAGTACCTACAGACTGAATTTATCAGTATTTATAATACTAGTAAGCCAACAGAAGTCAGAAAACATACTCATGATTTTCCTGACCTCAAGCAATATGATCTTATAGGCAAGTTTAATGTAGCAGTCACCATAGGTAAAAAGTCATTTACGTAAATAACTAATATGACATTACTTTCTAAACAGTTAATATTTTTTTATTAATTATTAGTTTAGATTACATATTTTTGATTGCTGTCAAAGTACTGGTAATATATATAGAAAATGAAGGCCTATATCTATGATTTTTATAAAGTAAGACGAGGAGTGTAAGACTCCACGTTTATAAATATAATAGATTTTTTAGAAAGATCATGCGTAAAAAGCCTCTACCAGCAACTTGTATCTTGTTACGGATGATATTGGTATGGTGCACCCGCCTGCGCTAACGGTTTACGCTGGCGGGGCACCAGTGGAGGATGATAAGATGAACATGAGGTCAGGTCAGTTAGCCCATCGTGACAACTTCAACAGGAATTTTTAATAATGGTTTCCAGACGAACCGCGTGAAGCTCTTCAGTCCACTTTACTAGCAATCTCATTTCCCCTGCTATATTATTATATTCCTAAGGTTTTTGTGGTATGTTAATAGTATGTATATACTATAAAAGTCTGGACTTCGTCACAACATAGTTTCAGTGGATTCAGATGTATTATCATCTTAATGGACTATTAGGATATCTTTATTTACCTAACATAAATTTGTTTCTTAGTTTACTTATACAACACGCAACATATTTTAATACAGGTCTCACTGTCATTTCGAGGATATCTTCAGAAAGGTTCATACCGGAAGATATATATAAAAATAATTATGTAGTTATAATATAAGACAACCGTCACATAAGTTGAAATGTGAGAAACAGAGGTGGGTTGCTAGTTGTAATATAAATGACTTATTCCTAGTTTAACGGCAACACATATATGGATGACGGTAGTGTGATCTTGTTATGTTAATCTGGAATATAAAACAAAATCGACAAGATAAACCGGTTTAACGTACAACATTACATGCCTAAAGTGTAATGCATATTACTAAAGATGATACTCAACGTTGGCGACTGACTCTTTTGATATCCCTTATTAAACTTATAATTTTAGAACGCTTCTTTTAAGATGTTCTATTTGACATGATATATTCATTATTTTAATATAAAAAATGTTTTATATAAAAATAATAATTTCAGGACAATTCATACAGCGCCATCTAGACCTAAGTTAAGCTAGTTAAAGCTTGTGTTATGGTACACAGGTATATTTATTTTTTCGTAAATACATGTATACAGATTATACATATAAAACAGCCAGACCGATACAAACAATCATACTCATGAATACAAATGTTTGTGCCATGTAAGGAATCGAACAAGCGACCATCTGAAGTAAGGCGATAAACCTATCTACTACCACCGAAGCCGTCGATATAAAAATTTATTGAAATCTAATTCATCATTTAGATACGCATACAGTACTCTGATCCGTTACACCTATTATTTCAGTGGTTGATGGTAACACCTACTTGTTCACAATAATAATAATAATAAGTTTATTGTGCAAAAACAGATACAAAATGGACTTAACTAAGTTTATATATCTATATTTTATTCCATATATATACAATAGTTGTTAAAACCATTTAATCAGTAATAATTTATAACTATTCAATAATCGAAGTCACATATTTATACGAATTAACCATCCTGGCTTCCCTTAGTCTCAATTATTTTTTCAGATAGAAACGATGACTTTACTTATTTCTGCATACCATAAGGAACATCTTGATCCAGATAGTTATTTTGTTAACAGTTCAATCACCTTAGCCTATACTGTCGCTAATTTACCTGTTTATCAAGAAACAGGCTTCATGGATTTACCCAGACAAGTTTATAGAATTCATTAATAAAAGTAAATAAAAAAGCAAAAACGAAATTTTCAAGTACTTTATAAACTCGTCGTCGTATTGATATTTTACAATGTAGGTTGATAATTATTTTAGTTATCTTTTAAGTCCATAACGTACATATTGAAAAAAATTACATAATTAAAAAAAATACGGTTTCCATTGCTAATTATTGTTTATATTCAATATAAGAGATGTAAAATCTAAAATAAGTAACCGTTACAAATAAGACGCATAGGTATATATTTTTTTTCAATGCGTGTAGTATGTGCAATGTTTTTTTTTTATTGATTCAATGTATTCTTTTATAAATAATTTAAAAAAATATTAGTATTCTGCACTTCTCTATGTAAAGTATCTATGGGAAATATCATACTCCATCCGCGCAATTTTCGTAACTAAGTTTTATTTCACGTATATATTATTGTTTATTTGTATTTATTTACAATAATAAATAATAAGTTTATATAAGCCAACAGACCTTGACTTTGATTTCTGATACACTCAAATTATCCTTGATTTTGTCTATATTTTGTATAATTAGGTAGTACTAAAGTCCAAGACCGTAAAAATTGATGATGATGATCAAAACATCCTTTGAAGCTGCCTTCTTAACGGAGATTTAGCAGTAATAAAAATTATAATTAATATAAGGATAGTTTTAACAAAATGCAAACAAAGGCAGAGCTTGTTTTTTTTTTATAAACACATACATACATAAAAAAGATCGATTAATAACAATCATACTCATGAATACAAATTCCGCTACAATTAGCATGTGAATATTTGTGGTCTCACACATGCTAATAATAGGGGAATTCATTATACATATTAATATATTGAAATGCACATTGCTCGTAAGACGTTAAGCCGTTGGGACAGTAAAGCCCTCCAGTGGCGTTCGCGGACCGGAAGACGTAACCTGGGAAGGTTACGTCTTCCGGTCCGCGAAGGCCCAGCAAGCTGGACCGACGATCTGGTCAGGATCGCTGGAAGACTTTGGATGCGAGCAGCGCAGGACCGATCGTCTTGGAGATTTTTGAGGGAGGCCTTTCAACAGTGCACGTATTTCGGGCTAAAATGGTGATGTTGATGAAGTAATGAAATAGTCTTCCGTAAAACAACACCTATAAGATGTTGTTCATCATCATCAGTTAGACCATATGTTTAGAATCCACCGTCATTTTACATACTATATAATAAATATATTTATATACCTCTTTGCCAATGGTAAACGCATTTGCCAGTCCATTGAATTCTTAGATCACTAATGTTCTCATACATCTCACGTCATACGCTTGTAACATAATAACATAATTCAATAATAACAAGAATCAAAACAAACCAATTAAAATAGTTACACACTGTTGACTGTTTATGTCTTATTTGTATTAATAACACCAATATTCATCAATATTTGTTTATTAATTTCAAAATTAACTTTATTACTTCAAATTAACTCATTTAGACAGATGTGGCATATATAGGATACTAGCTTTTTTCCGTGACTTTATCTGCTTTTTTCATACTAAATATATTAACAACAAGAAGTCAGACAAACAGACGTTTCATTTCTAATACTACTATTGAAGTATGGATACTATGGAATATGGATATGTAATAAGAATAGTACATATTTTGTATATTTTACCGTATAGTATATATCGTACTAATCACAGATAAATAAACAGCCTAATAAAAAAAAATGTGTATTATAATTTACTGATATCGTAAGTATATAATATAAAACTTGAAGGTTCTTAAATTATTTGTGCACATTTTTATATCTAATAAATTATTAGCATCAAATATACCAATACAAGATTCCTCCTGTGCTCACTGTCTCTCGGAGCTTGGATCCTAGGACCGCATCATTTTGCCTGCTATGCCAAACCATTTTTAAACCAGTACTACTACTATTAGTATTGTATACTAATCTGATATACATATCTGCAATGGATTAAATATACATTACAATGGGATCCACAATTCTCAAATAGCGAGGACGGGACGCACAAATATTGTAAGTATAGTTTAAAAAAAAAACTACGTGAGCTACTCTAAATATCACATTCACTGTACAGTATTATATACATAAAAGTTAAAAAGCAAAGTTATTTCTTCCAATTGCTACTTGCACTGTTACGGATACTTACTGCTATCTATGCCAATCTGTGGTGGGTTGATTGAAAGAGTTCTCTTTTAGATATAACAAATTGTCTTATCTAAAAGTGCAGTAAATAATATATTTAAGATAATCATAAATTCTAATATAGTGATTAGATTTATTGATTAGCTTTTGGAATAACGTCTCTTCATGTACCGCTGCATGTTTCGCCTCATAATACCTTGTTCTATTGGATAACTGTAGTACGGGTAGTAAGCACCCATTTTTCTATTAAAAACTAAATAAGGCGGCATATGATCGTAGTTTGTCGATTTGGATGACCAGTTCCTTCTGTACGCATTCCTCTTCGACTTCTTATGTTTTCTTGTTCTTTCTTTGTCCATCACCTCTTGTCTACTGTCAGGATTTATTTTAGTAAGTACCGCTGTCGATGTTTTTATTTGTTTAGTGTATTCTCTTCGTTCGTGTGCAGTTACTACGTTTAATATGAGCGAGAATAAAATAATCTGAAAAAAATATTATTTTATAAACATGTATGTAAACCCTATCAAGACAAGGATTATAATACCTATTGTTCTGAGATCTAGATTAATTGTAAATAAGTGAGTATATAATAGGTTTATAATTGACATAGTATGTCTGCATACCTATAATTATGATATCACTTGTTAGACATGTAATACATTAATATTTAACAATTAGAAAAAAATACGTAAAATTCTTTCTTAATCATAATATCGTATACTTTTGGCAACAATTATCTTGAAATATATCTCACTAATATTATAAACGCGAAAGCTTGTAAGTATGGATGGATGGATGTTTCTTACTCTATCACATAAATATTACTAAACGGATTTTGACGAAAATTTACGGTAATATAGCTTATACAACAGAATAACACAATGTAACCGCGGGCATAGCTAGTATAATATTATTTTTATACGTATCTAAAGTATATGTTAAAATAATTTGGTCTGTAACTTATTAATTTAACGAATATATACAC